AAAATTTATTACAATGAACTAATATTAATCCTTTTTTATTTTACAGACACCTTATGAAAATAGAATGTATTCACTGAAAATTGAATGCGGTGAACGTTACCCTGACGAACCTCCAACGCTTAGATTTTTAACAAAAATTAATATGAATTGTATTAATCAAAACAATGGAGTGGTAAGTAATTTATTTATTAATTGTTTATGTTAAAAGATAATCTATAATTTTTTTTATTTCATATAACTTAGGTTGATCACAGATTAGTTCCAATGCTAGCCAGATGGAATCGTGAATATACTATTAAATCGATGCTGCAAGAAATTCGTAGAATTATGACTTGTAAAGAAAATCTTAAATTGCCGCAACCACCAGAAGGTGCACATTTTTAGTTGGTTACAACAATTGTTGCTGGTCTTTTAGCAACAGCTGCTGCTGTTGCTGCTACTGCTGCTGCTGATGCTAAAAATCGTAATCATTTTTTTCGTCACCTCTTTAGCGTCTTCTCGTCGTGAGAACATGTTATTATTATTCTCTTATATTTAATAAATAAAACAACAACAACAGAAAACAAATTAAATATATAAAATTATTAAAATGAAGCATCATAAATATGAAATAAAAATAAAAACAAAGATATAAAAATTATAAACTTAAGAAACAAAAATCAAACGTTTTAACATCATAAGGAATATTTAGTTTCGAAGCATATACAAAACAAAGATTAAAAAATGATGGATTATTAAGTAAATATATATAACAAAAAATTTTAAATAACTTAAAGCATCCATTTAGTAACAAATTAATTAATTAATTAAAAAAGAAAAAACAAAAAAGGTACACGTACTAATGTCTAGACAGCGTCTTAAAATAATTGCATACAATAATAATATTAACAATAAAAAAATCGCATTAAACATATATAATTTAAAAATTGAATAATGAAATATACAATTTAAATATAATTAAATTATATATATTTAAATATATATATATATATGAATTAAAACTTAACGTAAGCAAATTAAAAACGAGGAAATTAAAATGTTGAGAATTTTAGTAGAAAAAAGAAAAGTTCAATTAAACTAAGCAAAGGTAAAATATCGTCGAGGCAAACTTAATTTTTTATGTTCGAAGGTTTGCGCACTACCAACTCAAAATATAATTTATACTAAAGTCAATGAAATTTCCTTCTTTTTTTTTCAAAGAACAACTTTTAATTAATATAATTTATTTCGTTTTTATTTTTCATTAAAAATGATGCATTTTTCATAGAAATTTTGTTAATAATTTGAGATAATTTATTTTTTTACAGCTAAGCTGCTGAATTTTCCTTTAGACTTTTATTATATTTAACTCAGAATAAAAGTTAATAAATTAATGCTTAACAAAGCAAATTTTGTTTAAACAAAAAAAATTATTCTCATTGATTATGAAAAAAAAGAACTCATAGTTTTGCTTAAAAAATATTACTTTTTTATTTGTCACCTAACTTTAAATACAAAAAAATTTAAAAAATGCATTAAAAATAAATTAATTTTTTTATCGATTTTATGCTGCTATTCTTTTAAGATCTTTGGACCATGAAGATAAAGTATTAATTGTTGTGAAAACTAACAAAAATCCTCAACATCATTCACTAAAGTAATTAAATCAGATATTGAAAATATTCTCATTAGTAAGTGGACTTACTTTCTTGTTGCTAAATCAACTAAGTAAATATTAGAGGGATCAGAAAAAGTATCGTTTTTTCCCAACTGAGATTGAGTATTTAATGGGCAACAGAAGCACATCATCGCTGGAGGCAACAAAGGGGCCCCAGAAGCTGAAAATCAACTACCAGAAAGAGTAAATACTGTTTAAATTTGATTTTTAAAGTTCATTATGACTAAGGAAACTATCTTCTTGCTAGGTCTGTTTTTTAATAGAAAGGTTAGTACAACAATAAAATTTTATTTTAGAGCAGTTATGAATTCAGAGTTATAATAAGAGTTGAGTTGCGTTAAGAGTTGTTATAAAACTCCGCCCTGAGAAAAAAGTCAAACACACTTTGAAACGTCAACGTTATTTATAAATCATGCAACAAATAATGCCGCTGCAAACAGAATAGTGTTGAAACTTAATAATTAAAAATAAAAATATAATTAATTAATTTAATTATTCTACAGCTGGTTTATGATTTCGTTGTAATATAAACACAGCAAGTGAATTTGTTAATAAAACTTTCACAGCAAATCAACAAAACTCTACAAAAATGTGCGGACATAAAAAGTCAAGTACGGTTTTCGGTCAGTTGGTTAAAGTGCGCTGACTCTGAGCTTCAAATTTGACAGGACACGAGTTCGATTCTTGGTACTTACAGTCTCAAAAAATTATTTACGTATAATAAAATACAAAAATTATTTCCAAAACCATTGATGATGGGTGTTTGGAAATATTCGAAACAGCTGTATGGTCAGCTAAATATTCAATTAATTAAAATAATATAAAAATGAATTTTTGTTGTTATAGTTCACCACTGTTCGAAAAAACCTCTTTATAGAAAAATATATAAAAATAAAAACTAAATTACAACTTTTGATTCACATAATCCTTTTCAAAAAACAATGATAAAGTTTCGTTTACCTAATTGAATTTTGCTTGATCTTATAATTGTTTTGAGTGTTAATGGTTCGATGGGATTTTAAAGAAAAAATACACTTAAAAGCTGATATTCATCATAGAGAGGTGATGCTATCTACCAAGAAACCAATAATTAATAAGAATAAAAGATATAGCACTCCACTAAAATAATGAAAGACTATACTACTTGATGACACGACAAAACATTTTACATTTGAATTGGAAGGTATTGTCATGTATATACTATAGTTGATAGTGTATTCTCTAGATTTGGATTATCACTTGTTTCGATCTTTACAGAATTTTTTAGACCGCAAAGCCATTCCTTCAAATTGGAATTTCAAAAATGGTTTGGTTCAGTTTTCTTGTCAGTAGAGATCAGAAGTTCAATAAACATAAAGCTAATCTGCAGTCAGAGAGGTGACAAGATATTGAACTAAAATAAAGAGTATGTAAGTTAGTTCAAATTAGTCTGTCTGGTTGCAATCCACGCATAAACTTATAGATACCTAGTTCTATCAAATGGAGTTTAAGGAGTGCTTGCAACTCTATTTCTCAGACAGATCCACCAAGCATTTTTTAAAATGTTAGACAATTAGACTGGACAATAATGGTATATGAGTCTAGAGTCTACTCCATTTGTGCAGCTTCAGTACATACGTATCAGTCATGGAGAATATATAATTCAATAACATATTTGTACACTACAATCACCATTCTTCATTTTCACCAAAAAATAAATTATTTTCCGAATATAGTTATTTTCGCCATAGTTATATTCCAGGTCAAAATTTTAAATAATTTTCTTGTGACTTACAATTCACTATTTTGCATTCATTGTGATATGCACAGATTATCTCTAGGATCTAAGGAGATGTATCTCTAAGATAATGAAATGTCCTGACTAAATAGGATTTATGTATATAATTAGCATAAATTTTAAATTGTGGACGTTATTGTAATAATATATCAAGAATACGGAAATATAGCGAAACTAGATTAACGAAAGTCTATTTTACCTATTCCTATATTTATTTAATATAAGAAGCAATTTATAATATTACAATAAATTTAGTAGAATTCCTTCTAAATCAAATCTCATCCGCAGTGTAGTTTGAACAAAATGTATGGGTAAATACAAAGTTTATATCTTTTTATCCAGTTGCAGCCTTAAGTGGTGTGGAAACCAAAGAATGTTTAAAAAATTTTTTTTGAAGGACTGACTACAATTACTTTTAAATAGAAGTATTATCTCCTCATATATTTTAGTCATCGTTGGCATTAAAATTTATAGTAGAAAGTAACATGAATAGTACTCTACTTTATATAATAGAAAAAATATGGTTCCAAGATTTCAAGTTAAACCGAATAATTCTAAAATAATGGTTCATTATTAAAGGAACTTATTTTTTAGTGAAAATAGTTTTAGAAGTTCTAGTTACTCACACATTTGAAAAAATTTCTCAACATATGCCTAATATATATATTCAACTTAAATTTTTATATATATATATTCAACTTAAATTTATATATATATATATTCAACTTACATAAATTTCATATATTTCAAAAGGGTGTTAATACAAACAGTGACACTTATACTCGGTAATATCTATTGCTCATTGGGATTATTTGAAAATATATATTTATTTTATTATCTTAAATAACCTATGAATTGCTGTGTCATAAACTCAAAAGTGTAATTTATAAGTTCATATTGTCGATATACACCTAAGCAATAATGAAGATATGGGTTTAGATGTGTTTAATCATTTGTTTTCGATATATTTAACAAAATATAATCTACATATGATACAATTGATAAAGTTGCGTACTGTATTGAAATCTTATTGGGTTTGTTGTAGTCAGTCATAAGAAGTATTTTGAACCACATTTATTTAAAAAGTTAAAAATTACAATTAATACACTATTTAAATATTAGAACCATTTTTAGAACCATAACAGGCAGCATTTTGTAAAAAAACTAAATACACAATATTGAAATAATTTTACTAATATTATTTTTATATATAATAATTAATAAATAAAAATTCTTTGATTGAATTTTTTTAAAACGTTTGGTTTAATCTGACTTAATTGTTTGTGGCTTGTTTATATTTTCAATTCAATTATTTTAATTAACGTTAAGTTTTTAATATTATTTAAACAATTCTCTAATTATATTTAAGCTTCGCGATTTCTTACTGATGCCATTGGTAGTTCAAATAGACTAACTCTCAGCTCCGTTTTTGTTGCTTTAAGTATACTATAAGTTGCATACGACGAACTTTGTAGTTATTTATTTTTCTTTTGGTACAAAGACAATTTTTCTTGATTTCAAAACGGACCACTTATGTCTCTTAATGTAATAGGATATAGCGACTAAGAAAGTCATTATGCCAATAACTTTAACCAATAACCTTTTGCGGTCATCATGCTCTGGTTCAGAAGTCCACTTAAGGAAAGTGGCTACATCTTTAGCCAATTGACTGGCAGTTGGTGGTGTGCCATCCTCGTACTCAATTACCTAATAGATCATATAAACTTGTAATATTACTTTTGCGGTTGAAAAAAAAAAAATTTAAAAATACCTCATTGTAAAGTACTTGTGCCATTGAAATGGCACCACCTGGGAAGTATGGATTGAAATACTGTCCCTCTCTCAATATAACGCCAGCTGGCGCATCACAGTAGCCGGTCAACAGAGAAAATATATAATCTTCTCCGCCTTTACGACCAGATACAATGTAACTTAAATCCGGTGGATAAGCACCATTGTTGGCAGCACGTGCAGCTTCCTCGTTGGGATATGGCGAGGGGAAATAATCTGACAATTTGCCAGGACGGTCAAAGTAATTACCGCTATCATCAGGGCCATCTTTTACCTATAACGATTATAACCGTTGTATAAATACCAAATATATACATAACTACATGCTATAGATAAATACCATAATTTGCTCAGCTTCCGCTTT